ATAGATGAATGAGAGACACAGAGAAAGTGAGAGACAAATAGACAGACAGAGAGAGAAGAGTGATGAATGAGAGAGAGAACGAAAAGAGAGAGAAAAAGATGAAAAAATGGGTGAAAAGATATAGACAAAGAGAGAGACAGAAAGAGAAAAAAAAAGAGCAAAAAGAGATAAAATGAGAGAGAGACAGAAAGAGATGAGCGAGAAAGCGAGAGAAAAAAAAGAAGAGAGAGAGAGAAGAAAGACAGAGAGAGAAGATAGATGAAAGAGATAGAGAGAAGAGAGATGGATGAGAGAGACAGAGAAAAAGAGAGAGAGATAGACAGACAGACAGAGAAGAGTGATGAGTGAGAGAGAGAAAGAGAAGAGAGACAAAAACACAGAGAGAAAGAGAGAGACAGACAGACAGAGAAGAGTGATGAGTGAGAGAGAATCAAAGAATAGAGATAGAGACACATAGAGAAAGGGAGAGACAGACAGACAGAGAAGAGTGATGAGTAAGAGAGGAAAAGAGAAGAGAGACAGAGACAGAGAGATAGGAAGATGAAAAAATGGGTGAAAAAAGAAATGTTCAAAAGAGTAAGATGACGTCGTTTATAGTGGATCGATAAATCGAGAAGGAGCTTGATAAATAGAGAAGATGAAAGTAAGAGAGTGAGCAAGGCGAACATAGTGAGTGAGAAATAGACAAATAGACAAGTAGAGAGAGAGAGAGAAGAGCGATAAGTGAGAGAGAGACAGGGAGAGAGAGATAGACAGAAAAGAGATAGAGAGAGAAAGATAGAGAGAGAGGGAAAGATAGAAAAAGAGAGAGAAACAAGAGATGAGCGACAGATAGACAAAAAGAGAGAGAAATAGAGTGAAAAGAGATGAGCGAGAGAGAGACACAGAAAAAGAGAGAGACGGAGAAAGAAGAGAAATAGGCGAGACAAATAGAAAGAGATAGAAAGATAAGAGAGAGAGAGAGAAAAAAGAAATGAGAGAGATAGAGAGAAAAAAGATGAGCGGGAGAGAAAGAGAGAGAAAACAGATGAGAGAGATAGAGAGAAGAGATATAGGCGAGAGATACAGAGAGAAAATGAGAGAGAGAAACAGACAGACAGAGAAAGAAGAGTGATGAGTGAAAGAGATAAAGAGAAGAGAGAGAGAGAGAGGGACAGAGAGACATGAAAATGAAAAAATGAATGAAAAGAGAAATGCTATATCAAAAGAGTAAGAAGACATTGTTTTTTTAAATTTTTTTTGTGACAGAAAAAAGTACTAGAATTTATTCAAACCATTTTGTGACTATATATATATGAAGCTGTCTCAAAACCACAATCACTATGCTAGGTTAGAGTTTTTCAAAAACTCTTTTGAGAAAATTATACTTTCTTGTTTTCCGTGTTATATTGTTTTTATTGAATTTTTTTAATATTTTAAGTATTTTTTTAATTTTTAGACAAACCTAATATAAATACACTTAAAAATTAAAAAAAATTGTAATTTTTTTTTAAAAAATTCACTAAATACCAAAAAATACAATAATTTAATACATTTTTTTTGTATTTTTCTGTATTTATTAATTTTTAAAAATATTTTTTATAATTGTTTTTAGATATATTTAAGTAAGGTGCATCTAAAAAAAATATTTAAAATTTTAAAAATATTCACTAAAAAAAAAATACGAAATTCACTTTTTGCGACGGCAGAAAATGCCGTCCCAAAAAAACAGAGTATTTGCGACGGTACCATTTGCCGTCTCAAAAAAGCAGAGCATTTGCGACGGCAGAAAATACCGTCGCAAATGCTCTCATTTTTGGAGATGGCAAATTGTGCCGTTGCAAATGCTATGCTTTTTTGAGACGACAAATGGTGCCGTCGCAAAAAGTGACTTTTTGAGACGGCAAGTGTGCCGTCACAAATAGTTCCATCTCATATACCCACTTTTCTTGTTGTGAATATGGAGGGAATGAGAATGATGAGGGAGGTTGTGATGGTTGTAATGGCAAGGTTTATTATGGGAACAATTGTAATGGGACCGGGGCAACCCAAACCTTCTTTCCCTGTTTGTTTTGCTGCATGCTATATTTCTTACACTTCTTCCAATACTTCTTCGTTGATTTACGCTGCCAAATGCTTCAAAGATTGCATCTTTCCACCAAACAATCCAGATCCTCCTCCTCAAAACAGACATGACATGTGCACTTTGGGTTGTGCTTCCTCTTTATGCACCCATTTTAGTACTAAAGAAAACCCTAGTAAGTTTTTATCTCTCCTCTTTTTTAATAAAAAAAAAAAATCAATACAGTAGTTCTAACACACCTCATTATCGACATGTGAAATATCACTAAACTATTCAGTAATAATCTATTATATAGGATGGTAAATTCTATTATTTGTACATAACTATAAATCTAATAGATTCTAATTAACTATCACATTTATGCCGATGACGATTGTATATTATTGGCGATTGATTTTTTAATACAAGATTGTTAGGCATTACGAAAAAAATATCATGAAAATCCTTCATGAAGATTTTCTATCCTTGAATTAGTTTGTAGTGTTTTATCATATATTATGCAATCACCCTTAAATTAATTTTATGAAACTTTTCATGATATTTATTTTATGATGCATTAAAAGCAACATTTAGGACTATTTTAGCAAGCCCCTTCGCAACATCTGCGGGGTTTGGGATCCCATTACATTTTTTCTTTTAAATTTTTTCACTTATTGTGATTGTTGTTTAATTTTTAATTTGTGTCCAAATTTTTAATTTTTAGGAACATCTAATGTAGAATGATCTAAAAAGTAATTTTTTTTGAAAATAAAAAAAATTACTAAATTTTTTGGCTTTTGTTTTTTTTCTGTTTTTTCAGATGATTTTTTTTTTTCTTTCCCAAATCATATATTTAATTAATTTTTACTTTAAAGTAAATTTTTTGAAAAATAAAAAAATTACTAATATTTTTGGCCTTTTTTTTTTGGTGTGTTTTTTGAGATGACTTTTTTTTCTTTCCAAAATCATATATTTACATTTTACTTTTTTTGTCCATATAGTCGAATAGATATAAAACCTTTCAAACAATAAAAAGTAAAGATCACTAAAATAAAAAAAATATTAACAAACAAAGGTCACTAAGGTGTCATTTGACAAGTAACAATTTTAGTCGAAAAGTTATTACAAATTATCACATTATTTTTTACTTTTTTTTATATATCTTTTTGTAATAAACTAAAAAGTTACTGATCTCTTTTGGAATGAACTAAAAAAGCTAGCTTAGTGATTAATTTGGATCATATCATCTCTCTAATTTTTTACACATTTTTTCATAATAAATAAAAAAAAGTCAATTTATAAGCTATACTAAAAACAATCTTTAGGCCTTATTTGTCATAAACTACAAAATTCAAAAAATCATTATCCTATTTAAGTCACATCATCTTATTTAAGTCACATTACCTCTTTATCACATCACTTCAAACCCAACTCAAATTCAACACAT